GGAGGCTTGACGTACTGATTCTTGAAAGATGGCGCTTTCAGCTTGAGAATCTCCAGAGAGAACAAATCTTCTGGATCACTTCAACAGGTTTAAGATAGCAGCAGACTGATTGAGGAGGCTTCAATTCAATTTGTCACATAATCTTCAATTTCAGCTTCACCTTGCTTCTAGGGTTGAAAGATTGAATTTGAAAGAATAATCTTCATTTCTTGCTCCTTTGAATAAGAGTTCATCGATGCTCACGGACGAGGCTTTGGCTTAGAAATCTTCAACACAAACTCCATGAGTCTTATCTGTACCTGAAATCACTTTTCAAGACAAAACAAAACTAAAAGAAAACTTAGCACACAAATTAAAACAGAAACAAAAATATTTTTGGATTTTTTTATTTTTTTTATTTATTTTTTATTTTTTTGTTTTTTTTTTCTAATAATTTTTTTTTAACTTTTTTTACTTCTCCCCTAATATTTAAATTAGAAGAAACTATGACAAAATTAACAAAAACAAAAATAATATCTAACTTTAAGTGTGATTTGGGATCAAATTTTTTAGATAGCCTTTATCTACTTGTCGGTACCTTTCATATTCACATATTTGTCTGGTCGATCGTTGGTTTTGTTGTCCACTTAAACATGAAAAACTGTGACAAATTCAGGACATACTATTTGTTACAAGACAAGGTGAACTTAAGTTCCTAGAAATTATATCTGATCCTAATTCCTTAAATATTATATCTTAAGGACCATTCATCTGACGACGACCAGGGATATTGTTGTCCACCTAAATTGAGCAGCGAGATCTACAGACAATCTGTATGTGTTCAATTGTAAGTGTACTGGAACGTGTTTCCCGCTTCATGATATGCCCCAGCCGTCAAGAACTTCCAGAGTACTCCTTACACTGAGTGAGCACACAACCATTCAGAGAGAGGATAGATTCAAAATTCTATTACTTATTACTTTAGAGGGGTTGAGAAGAAGAAAATTTCATATGGTGTGTACTAGGTCGGATTTGAAGTCACGCAAAGGAGACAGCATATGGCTAACAGATAAGAGGAATTTCATAAATATAACATGCAGATAAATAGAGTTGCATATGTTGCAATCCAGGTCGGATCTCTTCCAAATCACGCAAAGGGTGCAGCATATGACTAACAGTAGGAAAGAAAGAAAATGATATTCTACAAACTAATTTATCGGAATTTACTAGTCGCCCTATCCAACCAGAATTAAGGATAGAATCCGCACATCGAGGAAAAGTGAATCCACAGTTCTAGATACGGGTTATTTAATGTGACCAGTAGATTCCCATGTATATCTCCCTGCTCAACCTATCCGAGCGTCGTGACATCAGGTTAAACGGATCTAACTAGGTCAAAGTTTGTCAAGTCTATAGATTTCCTAAGTTCAACTCTGCCTAGTCAAGTCCATTTAGAATTTTTCGTGCCTACCAACGCATCAAGTCAGAGCATAGACCCTTCAACTTTGGGTACGTTACGCAGACTCTGGTTGCATGTTATCACTAGATAATATCACTTCCCAAAATATCTCCCTTAAGCACATTTCATAACCATCATAATTTTTTTTTTTATAATTTTATAATTTTTATTTTGTTTTTATTTCTCCCCCTAAATTTGTGCATAGGTGAAAAACGAAAGTAAATGCGCAAATTTAAACTATCCTAAAACAAAAATTAGTCTTTAAAGCGAATTAGCTTATGAAAAACGCAAGAGTATAGAGAAGAAAACGCAAACCGTAATTCACCGATTGAATCTGCATTCAGAAGGTCTGAGAACAGCAAGCATAATCTCAGAACAGGTCCGAAAATTCTTCATATCATTAGGCACTAACCCCATTTGTGATCTCTTCCTTTCTTCCTTTCCCGCAAAATAACACATACTCCCAACAAAGGTCTGAATGTTGTACAGTTGAGAGATGCCTCCTATCATGTGCCTGGAACAGCTACTACCAACAAACCGAAGTCTGATGATATGCCTCCATAGCTGCTCCGACACAGAGCGGGATCAGTTTGTCTTTGGAACCTAGTCCATTTTGAAACTGGGTCGACCTTTGTCATCCTTGCACGACCCTTTCTCCCATGACGTATCCTGTTTATCACAAATAGAAGATATAGAAATATTAGAGTCGTTAGTTGATTTGGGAGATTGAGCCTTTGGTACCCATTTGTAGTTGGGTTTAACCCATTTCTTGTTCGATCCGATGGGTGCCTCGTCACTTGCTTTGGAACTTGAAGCTGATCTTCGAGATGACTTTGACTTAGCCGGTATTTGTTTCACTGGAGCATCTCTTGGATAGGGCTTCTTGGCCGACACTCCCTTCTTGCCCTTGACATTCGAATTCTTGGCCTTATGGGTTTGATTCTTTGCCTTCTGCACGTTCCAGTCAACATTGTTTGAACATGAACTGGAAGGATTTCTTTTGAAGTATCTCCCACTTGGCGTGTTATGTCGCCCTTGAGCATAGTAAGGAACATATGCGCGATTAGGACAATTTATGCAATGTGTCCAGGTGTTCCACAGTGAAAACAAGTATTTTTCTTCACTGTGAAGTTATCTCTTCCTGCCCCTGGTGGCGTATCCTTGCCTTGTCTCTTGCTTTTCCCACACGCACAGTTGCAACATGCACTCTGTTTAGCTTGAAATGGTGGCCTGTAGTTACCAAGGGCAGGTTGATTAGAAGCAACAGATTTAGAGTTCAAGGGGTCGTTTGTTTGCTCAGAAGAACTATCCTTTTTCTCATCTTCTGCTACTTACCTGCACATGAAGTAGCAACATTAGTATCTTCAATATTAATAACTCCTCCTGACACATATCAAGCTCGTTTGCCATATTGAAGATGTAGCTCCCTGTCAGTTTCGTCATGTGTCATAGGGATGGATGTGTAGTTATGATTATAAGGAGGAGGTACACTATCATACCCTAGACCCTTGTTTTGATCACTTGTTGCTATACTCTTCCTGAAGTTTCCTGAAGTCTTTGGTTTTTGCTTCTAATTCAGCCTTCAGGGGTTTCTGTCCTTTCCTAAGTTGATATCCTTCATATCTCAGCTCCTCAACTTCTCTTTTAAATAAATCAATTTGATCCCGAAGAAATTTAATCGTATCTTCACATGATTGAGAACATGAAACTTCACATGACCGAGAACATGACACTTCATTGACCGGAAGGTTTACAAAACTCTTTAAAGCGTCAAGCTCTTCAATTACTTCAGCAATACTAAGACAATTAAGATCTTTTGTCTTCTTGATGACAGCTACATTCATATCCCATGATTCTGGAAGTGAATTCGATAGCCTTTTGTTTATCTCAGATTTGGTCAAAAAGATCCCAACAATATTCATCTTAGTAGTGAGTGTGGTAAATCGCTGCAACTGAGCTTCCAGGGTTTGTCCAGGGATATAATCGAACATGTTAAAATTTTGTCTTAAGATATCCTGACGACTCTCTTTCATGTTATCAACTCCCTCGTAGACCTTAAAATCAATTAAAAAGCACAACTAGAAGCTAAGATACAAATTAAACGTCAAATTTAAAATTCCTTTTTTTTTAAAGTCAACCTTAAAAGTCAAATTTAAAAAATTCAAACTCAAAAGTCAAACTTGAAAAGTCAAACCGAAAAGCTAAATTTGAAATTTTAAAAGTTAAACGAAAAAGTCAAAGTTTAAAATCAAAGGTCAAACTTGGAAGTTAAAATCAAAATTTAAGGTCAAAAGTTAAAAAAATAAAAGTCAAAAATTAAAATATAATTTTATTTATTAATTTTAATTTAATTAATTTATTTTTTATTTATTTATTATTATTTTATTATTATTATTATTATTAATTTTTTTGAATGAAAAAAGAATTTAAAAATAAAAGAAATTGATTTTTTGGGTTAAAAGTGTCAAAATTCGAAATTTGGTGCGAAAAAGACGGGTTATATTTTACAAATTTGGAGGAAAGAAACAAGTAATCGACTAGAGTAGTTGGTTAAGGTGCTGGTTGTTGAACTTGAGGTCGTGGGTTCGATTCCAGGCGTCGATAGTTTCGCTCCTCCCCTTCCTTTTTTAATGAAGCGCGATCACCGAGCTTATCCCACCAAGCCGAGCTGCAAGTCGCGAGCCGCAACGTCCGAGACGAGGCCACAAACCTCCGGCGACCGTGAACAATCTCCGGATGTGAACTGTTTCTGGCTGCAAACTCCGGCCGTGAACACCGAAACCCTAGCTGCCGGCCGCAAACTCCGACCAAAAACACCGATTTTTTCGACTTTGATGCTCCAAAACTCAATCAAAAACCCTTTTTTTATGAAAAACACGAAGAACAAACCCCCTTTATTTTTGCGAGATCTATCCAAAAACAAAAAAATATTTCAAAAATAAGATCAAATAATGCTCCAAAATAGGGTTTACGGCCCAAGAATCTAGACTTCACGGTTGATGAATTTGACTGGTTTGCGGCCGCGAACTCAGTGTTTACGGCCGTAAGCTTGGACCGAGAACACAAAATCTTCGATTTTTGGATGAAACAATAAATCCTTTTGACTGATACAACCAGGCTCTGATAACAATTGTAAGTCCTTAATCTGCCTGTGTATCAATCAGATCCGTTTGATGGTGCGGAATCCAAATCAAACGGATGATGTCAGATCAAATAGAAGAGAAGGAGAAGAAGAATAATATGAATCTTGAATGTATTGATAATATAAATTAAGTTCCTTACACAAGATTCACCCACACAAACGTTCCTTTCTCTCTGGTCGTAAACTCCTTCGTGTTCATCAATCTATTCCTCACACCCTAATACCTATACGGGTAAATTACACCATTGGTCCCTCGTGCATATGCCATAAAGCATGTTTAGTCCCTATTTCGAAAATTTAAATCGTGTAGTCCCTCGTTGTTATTTATCTTGCACGGTTAGTCCCTATGCACGTTAACTGTTAAATCCTTCCGTTTAAGCTACCCACGTGCCTTGCACGCAGGGGCATTTTCGTCTTTTCAGGGTTTGTATACATGAACCAGTATGGCGTGACTTCGATAACCGATCATTTCTCATTTCATCCTCTGTCGACCCTTAGCATTGCACAAGAAAACCCTAGTTTTCTACGATGGTGAACTGGAGGATTTGGCAAGAATGGGAGGAATACGATCTCCAAAGCTCATATGGTAAAATTTTCTACATTTTCAGTTGATCATCCATTATAAGTTCCTAAAATGTAATATTTTTTTGGGTTCGCAGCTGACAATCCATCTATGTTCTCGTTACGATTGAACTATGGTGGAGTTTTTACGAAGTTTCTAGGCCGCAAATACATAAAGGGGAAGATGAAATATATTGATGGCATTGATAGTGACTTGTTCTCGGTGCATGATATGGACGAGATAATGGAATTGCTTGATTGTGTGGAACCAGGTAAAAGTATTTACTATCATTTCAAACGACCAACCTGGGATTTAGATTTTGGGTTGTATGCTTTGGGCTGTGACGAAGATATAAAACACTTTAGGTCATACGTTTATGAACACAAGGTGATAGAAGTGTATACGGAGTTTTGGGAAACCAAGCTACATACGTATCAAATGTCCCCAAACCCTGCAAAGATAAAGATACACGAAATTCCTGAGTCCCTTTGTCGTAAAAGCTTGCTATTGACATGGTCAAATTCAGGGGATTGTCCTAGTGAAGAAGCCCCTGTTTTTTGAGAATGTAGAAACTATGGACGAACCCCCTAGTACATTACTTGAAACAACCTTGGAACAACCCCTTGTTACATTGACTGAAACACTTGAGTCAACCCCTGCCTATATACCAATAATTGAAAGCCCTTTGACTGAACCAATGATAGGAAGCACATGTCCTAATGTTGCTGGTTGGGATGATACATTTGAATGGTGTGAACCTTTTGGTGGGACTCCTATGGAACAAGATGAACCAAATAGTGAAAAAGCAGGTGAAGATAGTCAAGCTAGTAAAGACAGTCATGATAGTGATGACAATGAAGATAGCGAAGACAGTCAAGATAGTGATTACATAGTTGATGAAGATAATTTGTTAGATGATCCAGAGGTTGATATGAAGAAATTTCACCTCAACATTGACAAAGAGGTGGAGTGGGTTGGAAGTTTTCCTGTTGATCGAGATGAAGCAGTAGAAGGTGATGAAGAATTAGAGGTTATAAACACTGAAGAATTTGTATCTGCATCTTCATCAGATGAGGGTGAAGCTAGTAAAAAAAGGAAGAAGATAAGAGATTTACAAAGAGCACATAAGAATGAAGCAGCTGCTGTCAAAGATCCATTTTACATCCACCAGACTTTTAGCACAGCCAAGGAAGTTAAACAACAAATTTATCTTCATTGCATACATAGTAGAAGGGAGTTAGACTTCGTCAAGAATGACAAAAACAGGATTAGAGTGGTTTGCAAAGGGACAATACCAAACCTTGGGATATTAGAAACAGGTGGGACCAGCAAAAGTAATGACAAAGTGGGATCCGGTCAAAAGAAAAAGAAAGTGAAAGATGGTTCTATTCATAAATGCCCATGGGTCCTACTAGTGAGTAAATGGAAAAAAGACATTAACTGGACTGTTAAGACCTATGAAGAGCAACATACATGCTTTCAAACAAGGAAAATTAGGGCGTGCAACTACAAGTTTCTCTCTGAACAGATTGTTGACACAGTGGAGGCAAACCCAGAAATACCACTTAGAGCATTATGTGAGATGCTTGAGAAGAAATACCAAGTTGGATTGTCAGACATGAAAGTTCACAGGGCGAAAACCAAAGACCTGGAATCAATTAGGGGAGATTTTGCTGCTCAGTACTCATGTCTAAGAGACTACTTACAGGAGGTGCATAGTAGAAATCCAAACACCACGGTCAAACTTCAAGTGCAAAGTGAACCATGTTATGCATCTGAGACCAGGGTATTTGAACGAGTATACATTTGTCTTGGTCCACTGAAAAGTGGATTTGCAACAGGGAAAAAAGATTTACTAGGGCTTGATGGTGCATTCATGAAGGGTCCATAGCATGGTATGATCCTGACAGTAGTGGTATGTGCATAATCATATTTTAGTATTTGATTAATGTTTGACCATAGTTAATTGTTTGCTTATTACTATGTTTGACATGATAATTCAGGGTTTAGATGGGAACAATTGCACATACCCTTTGGCATATGCAGTTGTTGAAGCAGAAAACTTTAATTCATGGACCTGGTTTTTAACTAACTTAGGAGATGATCTTGGTTTGTATGCAAACTCCAACTTCACTTTCAAATTAGATAGACAAAAGGTAAATAAAGTTCTCCATTCATTTTCACCTGCATGTTTTACAATTCAATAAGCAACTTCACTCTTTTGATGATTTAGGGGTTATTGCCTGCACTTGAGAAACTTTTCCCAGCAGCATAGCATAGATATTGCCTAAGGCATCTTCATGAGAACATGAAACATAAATGGAGGGGCAAGGAATTCAAGGATTGTCTTTGGAAATGTGCAACATGTACCACCATACCATAATTCAATAGTGCCATGGAAGAACTAAATAAACTTAACAGTGAAGCATATGACTGGCTTAATTCTATTCCACCTAAGCACTGGTCCAGATTCCACTTCTCAGGTATATACTATTATGTTTATAAGTGTATAATTTTTAAATATAATCTAATACAGTTGTGTTTTATTAGGGAGGGCACATTGTGATGCTTTGTTGAATAATATGTGTGAGAGTTTGAATAGCAAGATAGTGAAGGGTCGTGATAAGCCAATTATCAGTTGCTTGGAGTTTATTAGGGAGTATATCATGAGGAAAATTGTCATGGTTCAAAAAGAAATTGACAAAGATAATGGCCCATTAACTCCTACAGCCACTAAGACTCTTGAAAAAATTAAAGAAAGGGAAGTACAGTGTAGGGTAGTGTTTTGTGGCAATGGGAAGTACCAGGTTACAAGTGAAGGTACTAATCAGTATGTGGTTAATATGAACCAACAAAATTGTTCATGTAACAGGTGGGAACCGACTGGCATACCCTGCAAACATAGTATAGCAGCTATATGGGATATGAGGCTCAACAATGAAAATGTTGGAATACCTGAGACATGGGTACACCCGACTTATTGGCTCAAGACATGGAAATAAATGTATGTCTTCAAAGTTGAACCTATTAATGGGAGGTTTTTGTGGGAAAAAAGCACATGTCCTACCAAGTTGATACCACCAAAGTATCGTGTCCCTATTGGCAGAACAAAAAAAAGAGAAGAAGATTTGCAACAGAAGATGATGGAGTGTCCACAAAATGGAAATCTGTAACATGCACAAAATGTGGAAATGTAGGCCATAATGGAAGGACCTGCAAGGGACAATCATAGACTGGGAATGGAACAGGAGAAGGTGCAGTAGGGAATACAACAGAAGAAGGTGCAACAGGTAGCAGTGGTGGTGTACAAAATGGAGTTGGGAACAAAGGAAAAAGCCCCATGCTTTGAGAATTTGTAGTTTGGTATCATGATCATGAAGGATAACTATGTTTTTGTTAGGCATTTATTGCCATATTACTTTGTTGTTATGTTTTGTATTTTGATACTTTGTTGCTGTCTAGGATAACTATTTGTATGCCATAACACTATGTTGTTATTTTGGATGTCCTTTTATGTTAATGGTCAATGGTTATCTTGGATATTTAAATTTTTTTCATTTTTATTGTTATATTGGATGCTACATGTATTGAACGGTATATTTCATATGTTGCAAATACCACATTTTCATTAAATTTGAACACCAACTATGACACCACATTATAATTACACAACATATTGTAAATAAAATTGAAGTTTTTTTGTTAATACAAATAACATTACAAAATACACATACCAAAATACTAACAACTTCATTACTAAACCTACACTTTATATATAAGGACTGAAACAAAAAAAAACCCAGCTAATAACTAGGTAAAGCTTCAATTTGCGATTTTGTTCTTCAAGTTTCATCCTAAATTCCATACAATCACAATCCTGATCATAATCATTCACCCATCCTATAAACTTGCATAATGGTCCCCGAACCAATTAAAGTAGATGAAGATTTAGGGCAAAATTAGAGAAGATGAAGAACGAAATTGAAATCATTAACCTTACCTTTACTGTACAAGCATAATAGAGTTTCCCAGGGTTTCTTTTGCTATAAGATGTGCGAATCACTGCCGTGGCTCCACAATTGCATTTAATATCGATCATTGTTATCTATTTGGAAGAAATCGATCGAACGAGGGGAAGAGACGAACGAGAGGATAGCAGAGGAAAAGAGGGTTGCAGTGTTTTATAAGATTTAAGGAGTAACGGCATTAAGAATGGACACAAACCCTGAAAAGACGAAAATGCCCCTGCATGCAAGGCACGTGGGTAGCTTAAACGGAAGGATTTAACATTTAACGTGCATAGGGACTAACCGTGCAAGATAAATAACAACGAGGGACTGCACGAGTTAAATTTTGGAAATAGGGAATAAACATGCTTTATGGCATGTGCACGAGGGACCAACAGTGTAATTTACCCTACCTATATTTATACTAAGGGAACATGGGCCAGAAACAAATGGTCCGTAAATGAGTTTACGGCCGTAAGGTGTTTACGGCCGTAAACTCAGCCGTAAACATGACCATAAATTCATAAATATTACAGTAAAATACAATTGCCCAGAAAAGTAAAGTATAAACCATATTTTGACCCAACAACCTCTAATGGAGTCACAAACACCATGAGCAACAAGATGACTTACAAGAAGGCGGAGGAGCACCAAAAAAGTCCAAGAACCCTTAGGGATTACATCCATACGTTTTTAGGGTCTTCGAGGTTCATTATATAGTGAGGCTATTAGGGTTATCAAACAAGGAAACCCTAATTTGACTGCCTAGGCTCTAAGCAGCCTATGGACTCCCTCCTAAGAAGCCTTGGACGAATTCTAATGGGTTTCCCTATAGATTTCATCCACTCCAACTTCTATGGAGTCCATTAGCCCATTCATGCAATTATCTTATAATTACAATATCAGTCCCCTTTATTTAATTAATCTCTTTTAGTCACAAAACTAATTCTCAATTAATTCTTGACTAATATTTAATTAAACATTATGATTTATCCTTTAATATATTATTCTTATAATATATTAATAAATCATAATTAATCCTCTTTCTCCATAGTTCATCCTATTAGTTGCTATTGTGAAGGCAACCCAAAAGGATGATGCTCGTAATCGGGTCAAGTACATACCAAAATAGTTATGGGCTTAGACACCTAAACCAACATCATTCCAACAACCTATCCATGAAACTTCCACCAACCCTGCAGCACTCATGTATGCTAGCCATGCATAATGATGGACCCTATAGATATTTGAATACTCGGTCCAAAGAAGGAACAGGAAATAAAGTAAAACCAACTATTCTTAGGCCATAAGATCTTAATTATGTGCAGCTGTCATGCATACACTAAGCAACTATAGTAATGAAGTCAATCTCATATACGGAAAAACCTAGGATATTAGGCATCATATAGTCAAGCAATTCTATCTTGCAATATCTGAAGATCCCAAGCCTAGTACTAGAATGTTGTTCAAACATATCACATAAATCAAATAATCCGTAAGGTATTTTGGGGTCTATCCACAAGCTTCGACTGATCGTACACTTGCATCCTTCTTTATTATATTGAAAACATTTTAAGAAAATCGTTTTAAAATCTTGTCCTCGGTTTGAGACTAGAGATACACGATTGTTTCCTCCAATTCACTCAAACCAAGACTCTGATACCAACTTGTAACATCCATAAAAAAATCATGCCAAATTTAAACTTTTTAAAACATATTCAAAACCAATGAATATTACAAAACATGTTTCCAAATTAGTATAATGTCAGAGTATCCCAGAATCAATCATAAAAATCACGCAATGTGAGGAGCTGTACGATTAAGCCTTCGCCATCCCGAGATCATCAGAGGTACCTAGAACAATAATCGATAAATGTAAGCCATAAGGTTTAGTGAATTACCCCCAAAATACCAATGCCATAAAACATATCATTAACATATAATCAAAAAACATGCATAATGAGCCTTCAGCCTGAGTGGACCACCTCGTAGGCCTTCAGCCTATCTGGACCACTCTTCGAGCCTTCGGGACATCCGGACCGCCTCGCAGGGCCTATAGTTTTTTCGGACCACTCGCTGGGCCTTCGGCATGACTGAACCCTTTTCCAGGGCATTCAGTTTATTCGGAACGCGTGCAGTACCGCCTCAACCCAACCCCTAATAAACAAACAATTACACATAAATGTCATATGCTAGCATATATAACAGTCAAATTAATTTAACAGATCTCTAAAAATAGTATCATCCTATACACCGGGATACCGACCTAACCAGGTCACTAAGCATATCACCATCTTAACTACCTGGATGTCAATCAATAAGCATATCATGAAATAACTCGTTTACAAATCCATAAAGGGTCGGAATTGGTGCCTTCGACCCTGTTAGTATAGTAAGGACAACTCACCTTACAACTGTCGAACCGAAGTGATAAGCTCAAACTCTCGAACCATAGCCACCGACTTCACCACCTATTTTTACCATAAGATCATGTCCACATATTTCCAATTTACTAAAATACCCCCCAGAAGTCAACTAGTCAACCCTTAGTCAAAGTCCAAGTCAACAGTTAAGGTCAACAATCCATGTTGACCCAACTCGTCAAGTGCAACTTATTGAATCGTCGAGTCCTTCCAGAACTCGAGAAGTCATAAAACCCCGCATTGACTCTTCGAGTTTCCCTGTAACTCGTCGAGTTCATGCATGTCCAAATATCGGGAAAACCCTAGTCGACTCACGGAGTCGTCCTACTAACTCGCCGAGTCCAAGTAGAAATCCATATACATAATCTTCGTCGGACTCGCCGAGTTGTCCATGCAACTCGTCGAGTCCCTTCATTCCTTTCTCCTTTCAGATGCTTTTAAGCCATCACAAAGCTCCATATTGCAGATCAAGCTTCCCAAGGCATGTTTATCATGTAAAGTTGCAAACTTTACGTGCATGCAAGGCTCTAAAGGCTTAGAATACCAAATCCAAGGTTATAATGGGGTATAACTCAAAAGGAAATGCTCATACTTGCTAAAGTTGGAAACCTTATAGCTATAGAGACCAAGATGAGTTCATATCTGAAGTTGAAACTTCAAATCCTAACCCATACCCGAAAATGGATAACATACATGCTAAAAAAGCCCTATTCTTAAAAATAAGGAGATCTAGTAGGAGGAAAGTCAAGGTAATGACTTGTTACCTTCAAAATGATGCCAATAAGCAGAATAGTTAGATCCACTAACTCCTCTATGCTCCAATCCTCTTATACTTCAAGTATTCTTCTTCCAAATCCTCTTCCAAGCTTGAAAATCACACAAAATGGAGAGCACACACGAACTAGGGTTTCAGAGCTCAAGGGAATGGTGAGGGGAGGCCAAGGGAGGCTAATGACCCTTTAAATAAGGTGTAAAACTCCGAAAATTAGGGTTTCATCCTCCAGCTCAAACTTGTCGAGTCATGTCCTCCGACTCATCAAGTTGGTCACTTATGTTACATGGCCAAATCAGTTCTTACTCGACTAGTCAGGGCATCTAACTCATCGAGTCAACCTTTCAAGATGAAAGTTAAAGCTGTAATGTTAATACCTGGGATTTGGGGTGTTACAATCCACTTATCATTTCAAGTCATTATATTATCAGTGCAAACAGTGTTCTTTTCAAAAGTCCACTCACTAACTTTTTAAGTGGCATCACCACATCGATAACAAACTTTAATTTCAGGATTCTTTCCTTTAACATTAGATTTTGATTTCTTTTCAACTGCTGAATCTGAAGAACTTTTATTATTTGACTTAAGAGTTCTTGATTTAGTTCTGGAACAAGGGTTGATTTCAATGGTATGCTCATATATTACCTGGTCATGAGACGCATGATCCTTTGAAGAGTTATTAGGAGTAGAAGGATTTGATTGATGTTCAGGTTAAAAATTCCTAATTGAGCATTGAGGAAACATGCTAAGAATTTTGTTTACATAATGAAATTCACCATTACATATAGGAACCTGTAGTAAAATCTCAGTGGAGGGCAGAACATACTCACAATGAGAAGGTTGGAAGGAAGGATCAATAACAAATAATTTAGAAACACATTTAGTAATTCCATTAGAATCAGTAGAACAATGAGTATTGATTAAAGTTTGATTTATAAAATGCAAACTCACAAATCTACTCTTAAAGTATTCTTTTAAGCAGGAAAATTTATAAAAGGTTTGCTTAGTTTCAACTTTGGTTAAAGAAACAACACCTTCTATATCACCTCCAACAATTTTCTTACACGGATCCGGAATCTGAGCATTAATGATTATTGTGACATTAACGTAAGAGGATTCCCAATAATTCAAAATAAGTTGAGTTCGATTAGCTTGATTAACAACTTTTTCTACTTCAGTGTATAGAAAATTATTGTTAGTGAGATACCAGTGTTTTCCCTTTTTAAAATAGAAAAATATTTTTCTTCTTTTGAAATCAATAAATTGAAACGTAATTGAT